TTAAGTCAGGGAATTAACTAGAAAAAAATATGAATGAAAGAACTTCTGGGGTTGGTTGGAAATGTTTTATATCTTTATAATAGTGTGTGTTACACAGGTATAGCCATGTATCAAAAATCATAAAATTGTTCACTTAAGATTTGTGTATTTCAATAAACATTAATATCTAAAAACTGTAAATAAATTAAAAAATTCTGAAATCTACCTAATTCCAAGTAAATCTAAAAGATTTCATCTTCACATGTCATGGTTACCTACTAAGATTGTTCTTGTAGACCCTGTGAAACCAATTAATGAATTAAAAAAAGAAGAAAATGGTTGGATAATCCTTTACCTATACAACACTTTTGAGGTAACACAACTGTTTGTTAGGTTGGGTCTCTTTTGTGTATCACCAGTCCTAGGAAAACCCATTCCTTCGCATAAAAATATTTTTTTTTCTTGGAATACGATGGCCAGGAAAGGAATTTTCAGTTTCACTACGAGCTTAGAACGGCAAAGAAAAACTGTGATTACACCATGTAATAAATCCACAACTTCTTAGACTGAAAAAGTGGAAAAAGGAAAATGATTCTTACATCATGAAGTTTTATTTTTACTACAGTTAATGCCACTTTCTATACTCCACTTTCTTTTACAGAAGAAAGACAGACGCTTCTAGAATTTGTTTAAATAGAGTCAGAAAGTCTTTATGTCAACTAGGAGTTTTCTCTGTTTCTGTAAATTTAGAAGACTAAATTTTCATTTCTTATAAAGATAAAGGGATCATCACAAGGTTAGATTTGGTCAGAATGCCATGTCATTTCATAGCCAAATGAAACAGTGATATTTAGATTATAATCCTTTGTGAGTTGTTTTTGTATAAACCATGACTGTATTTAATATCTATTATAGCTTTTACCTCAACTTCATCTTTAGCATACATCTATATTCTTTCTTCAATCCTCCTCATTTTTAGTCAAACAACCTTTTTTTTTTTCCACTCTGCTTCATGCTTAGGGTAAATGTTTCTTTGTTTGTTTGTTTTAATTTCCTAAATAGTTCAAAGGCTATACATTTATGAGATGACCCAAAAGCTTATAGATAACAACACTAAAGACAAGCATTTAATGAGAGACAATGGATCCCACTTTGGTCCTGCAAGAAAATAAGTATATCTGCAAGAAATTGAAATTCCAGAGACAGAAAGCGAACTATATCAATAGGGCCCTTGTTCTTTACATCACCTCTATGTATCTTCTTGAGGAACACAATAATAGAAAAAGAACCTGTCATGTCGGAAAAGTTATTTAATCTTAATAAAGCTCCAGTACCTTACTGTAATTAGGGTAATGGTGACCTCTAGGATTGTTTTACACACACACACACTCTCCGTCTCTCTCTCTCTCTCTCTAGCTATCTTTCTCTCACACACGCACACACACAATGAGATCTGAATGTAAGGAATGGTGCTTGGCACAGACAAAGCACTAGATAAACTAGAATTTGTTCATTTCTGGCTCTTGAATCAAATGACAATTTGTTCATCAGAGTTTTGCCCTCAAGTCATGAGCACTGCTAGTCCCCATTTCATTTGGCCTTCAGGATTTATGGACTCAATGAATGAGAAAATACAAAATGACCATCTCCTACATTAAAATTCTAACCCATTATTTGGAACACTTACCAAATGCTATTCCTAGTTATTTAGTCACAAAGGAAATATAGACATCAAAGACTATGATTATGTATTATTTTAATAGTTACTATAAAAAAACAATTATTATCCCTCATTTTGCTTCAATTCAGAGAGAAATATTCTTCAGAAAATATTCATATATCAAAGACATATACCTTGAACAGACCACTAAGCTATATATATATAAGCACATCAAATGCTTTTTAAGAAAATATTACATAATTTTTAAACATTTCCTTGAAATAAGAAAATAAATAACTTAAGAAGCCAGCAATTAAAGAGCTTGTTTTGTTTCACATCAACAAATGGACTAAATATTTTTAAATGGGGAAAAGAATTTCTTAGGATAAATGAACTATAAAATGAGGATTTGCTTGTGACTCATTTTTCAGAAACTACATAAAAATTTGGAGGCATATATCTCAAATGATGATGTGGTTCAGTCTTTAAAAAAAAAGGAAAAAAAAAGAAATGTCAACTACTTATCTTCTTGCATTTTCATGTATCAAAGTCACCTGGAATAAATGATTATATTCCAGAAGTATGGGTACTGAGACATTACTTGCCACTTAAAGAAAATAAAAGCATGTTTATAGGTTTTATTCTTCCTATCATTGTATATATTTGAAACCCTGAATAATAATATATTTGAAAACCTGATAGAGAGTCATAATAGCAAAAATTTACTTGTTAAATGGAATCAGTGAATGTGTTTTAATTAAATATACCTCAGAAAAAAGTCTTTGATTTCTTAAATTATACATAGAATTCATTATATTATTTGGACATTTAATTTTTAAGGTTCAAAAATCTAGCCCAATGAATAAAATATAATACAAATATAAAAATAACTTTATCCACTAATAAACTAATTTTGTTACCTATTTTTACAATAATTCATTGAAGTTCTAAATAAAATAGAGAATTACAGTGCCTACTACCTAGCTAATATGAAATGATTTAAATTCTTCCTAAGGCATTAATTTCATACAGTCTATAACATTTTAATGGCCCTGTGAACATTCTAAGCAACTCTTCTAAGAAAATAGAAATTCAGATGCAGCATAGTTTCTTTTAGTAATCTATTTTTATAGACTTCAGTGCGTATATGAGGTTGACTTTAAATACTAACAATCTACTTGTAAAGTCTACTGTCAATGTTTACTTATAATCAAATATGATTAATTTAGCCAGTTGGTTCCTGGCAGTACCCCCAGTAATGGAAAATTATCATAAGCCAATATATCTTGATTACAACAGCCTGTACCTTTATTGTCTGTCCAGATTCCTTTCACATCAGGTCTGTAATGAAAAGCTAAGTCATAAACAGAGGTATTAGAAGATACACAATGGGGACCACTGTTTTTTAGAACAAATCATATTTTCAATAACTCACAATGTAATTTGATGGCTTCCGTTATATAATCCCTCAACAAACAATTAAATTCTACAGATTTTTTTCCACTTAATATCACTGTTAAATCACATAACCTATAAAATAAATTAAAAGTAAACCAGCATATGTTTAAAGTCTTTGATTTGTGAAGAAAACAACTGGGAAGCGTTTAAGCAAGTATTAAAAACAAATATTTATATTGTTAGATTTGGCAGCAGAGGTGGGTTCTCAAGAGAGACAACATGTTCCAAATGGTGTATTCCATTCTCTTCTCAGCCTCATTCATAAAGTGCCTCTGTTAGGCAACAGGATCACTCTGCTAGATTAATGAACACAGGTTGATGTTTAGCACTAACTGGTTGTGCATACAAAGAAGAAAGCACCACTCATTTTTACTTAAAAACAAAATCTGCCTAAGCAACATGCTTAGGCAGAGGCATCTTTCCACCAAAGTCAAAGTAACCAAACCTAACTGAATGGGGAATCAGAACGTAAAACAAATGGGCACACCACTCAGGATACCTCCGAGGGGGTTCTCCAAAACTCAGAGTAAACTAGTTTTGTGGATAGAGATTAAAGGCTGCCGTGCCTCTGGCATGTGTTTATTATTCTCCCACATACTACTAGGACCCTAATTGAAGACAAGAGACTTTGGGGTACCCTAACATTGTCTTAGCCTTTCTTAACGCGCCCTTAACCAAGTGGAATTCGCTCCATCCCGACTCCCATAGAGACCTCGCAATCCCAAACCTGAAATCACTGCATTTGCACCGGGATCACAAACCAGGCCAGCCAGGAGGGAAGATCAATGGCAATACCAGACCGCCTGTTACCCTGACTTTTGTTTGCTCGGGTTTACATTTTAGACGGACATTCACATCCTCCCTGCGGAGCCTGGGAAGATATTAAATACTTCTATCCCTCATCAAGACAACCCAACCACAGCCCCGCAGAGCACAGAGGAACCCAACGGTGTCCCCAAGACCGAGTCAGAACCTAGACCTTCCCTGAGGTCGAGCACAATTTGTGCTTGGAGACAGAAGAAAGCATCTGTCTCAATTCCTCCTGAAGCCATACTTTCTGTATAGACCCACCTGCATGGGAGCTTCGTGTCTCATTGTTCTCAAAATGTCCTTTCTCTCTGGCTAAGACAGCGCTGGCGAGGGCGCTGGGTCAAGCATGCACAGCCCGCGCGCTCCACGTTCCACACTCTGCACTTTTGGGGTTCACTAACCGGCTCCAACATCAGCACCGGAGCTGTCCCCTCCTTGGCGCAGCACACGCGTACTGTCCGGGAGTCCCGCGCGCTCCTGGGACTTGTAGTCTTAACGCGCAGAGCTTTTCTCGCAAACCCGCGAGCCTTGAACTACAACTCCCGGCAAGCAAGCATCTAAAGAGGCTGCTCCTCCAGTCTTACTTGGCCGCGGAGCCTCCCTTCGCCTCCCTTGGAATAGCTCCTGGTTGTGACTGCTCGGAGCCTCCCAGCCAATTTCTTTGCGAGGCTCAGGAGAAAGTGACTCCAGCTCGTATCAGCGGGGAATTTTCCCTTTCTACTCACAGATTCCCGTGGCTAGACTGTGATTTTCTGGTTAGGAAACGCACTACCTTGTGCTAATTCCCGATACAAGAAAAACCGGAGCTGCGTTCTGGGACTCTCCGCCCTACACCTCCTTACCCCGAAACGGGAAAGTTTACATATATCTATAAGCAGAGTGGGGTGGTTTTACAATCTCACTCAACAAACACGGGGAAGAAAGATGATGAATAGCACACACATAAAGAAAGTAGTTCACTCGCACAATTGCATTGACAAGGCACGCGCGCGCGCGCACACACACACACACACACACACACACACAGACACCCCAAAGTCCGTCAAAGCGACATTTCGCGCAGAGCGTGCAGGAGGAACTCCATTCGGCTCACCTTTCCGTACAGCTCCATTGCAACTCGAGGTTCCGAAATTCTCAGTAACGCCTGCTCCTACAAATGAGGTTAGGGTCTTACACAGGAAGCTGAGCTAAACACACAACACAATGGAAGGGGTGGGGGTGGCGGCTGGCGGAGGGAGAAACGAGGGACGTGGAGAGTACAGCTGATTTAGATAGATGGCTTCTTTCCTCTGGAGGGAAAGCGTGGAGTCTTCAAGTGCCAGCTGCGGAGAAAAGGCTGAGAATCTCTTAGCAAGTGCCAGGGGCGCGATTGCGCTGGGCAGCCCCTCCCGAGGCCCTCCCCCAAGCACCTTCTACCGTCATTAGCGCGCACACACAAGCGCTGCTGGCCGCGGGCTGGAGAGCTGATAGGGCACTGGGTTATTTACCCAAAGCAAGTCACATAAAATGAACACATTCATCACCAGAGCCCAGAAGCACCGTCACAGAATGAGATAGGAGACCTTTATTAAGTTATCCTGTTCTTTCTTTAATGCAGTTACTCCTTGCGTTACAAGGTACTCATCCTGGATGAGTTCAAAAATGGTTTTGAAATCTAACCTTACTTTTGTCATACTTATTTTCGCCCTAATTTGACTCAGATGTGCTATCCATGTTCTCTGTACCTATCTAGGGACACCCCTCTCCCTTTAAGAGTTAATCAGTCCCGTAATGATTCCTGACTTTTGCATGAGGTCGAGAGTTGAGGGAAATTGGAAGGGGAGGTGAACCATGAGACACTATGGACTCTGAAAAACAATCTGAGGGTTTTGGAGGGGCGGGGGGGGGGGGTTGGGGGAGCCAGGTGGAGGGTATTAAGGAGGGCACGTATTGCATGGAGCACTGGGTGTGGTGCAAAAACAATGAATTCTGTTATGCTGAAAAGAAATAAAAAAAATAAATTAAAGAAAAAAAGAGATATAGAAATATATATCTATTAAAAAGATATATAAAAGATACATAAAATATACTATAAAAAGATATATAAAATAAATTAAAGAAAAAAAGAAAAACAGAAATGATTATTATTGGAGGCAGAATGGAAAAAGAATCAACTTGATATTGGCTCAGAGGCATGCGAATCAGCTTGAAACTTCTTTGCATTACACAAAACAATGGAACAGAGGTTCTGAAACTCAAATGTGCCTTAAAATCTCTTGGCATTAGGTATTTAAAATTCATATTCTCAAGATATGCATAGGGACTCTGATTCACTATTTGTGATGAGAAGTCCAGGAATTAGCATTTTAAACAAATACTCCAGGAATTTCCATTCAAGAAAGACTACCTTAAAAGAATCTGTATGTAAGCAATGTTCAAAAATGTCACAGATTGACTCATAATGCAACAACAATATACTGGAAGCCTCCTGGGTTCAAAATACCTCATTAGTTTTATTTTGTTTTGTTTTTGTATTCTGTTTTTCTTAAGAAATCTGAGATCTGTTTTCTAAGTTTGTGGTCACTGAGAATGGAATATGATATGGCCTAGGTAAATAGTTTTTACAACTTCTCAGAAAATAAAATTTAAAATGTTCCATGCATAGTTGAAGTTATGTGATGGTTAGAGCAATTTCATTTAAATTAATTAATAACAAAAGGTAAAGGGAACCTAGTATCACTATGTTTCATTGAAGCACTAATTAGAAGTTAAGACTTCTGTACTTTTTAAAAAAGATTAATTTAAGGGTACAGCTCTGTATATTTTTGCCAAAGAGAAGTGCCCAAAAAATAATGACACTTATATACTTATTTAGAATTTAATAATAAAAATCTGTACAGCTACATTCTTCAGAAGAATTTCCTCTAATATTTATACTATCACTACTTTCTAAAATTCTCAGAATTCAGAGTCTATTATCATAGAACATATTTAAATGTTCCAAATGATGTGTTAGATTTACTATTCTTTGAGAAGTTCATGCCTTCTTAACATTTTTCTAAAATGTTTTCTATTTTTCTAAAAATGAAATCTTTCTCAGTTTCCTAGTATGTCTTTTATTTGTGAGAGAACCCATGAAAATCAAGTTGTGAAAAAAAGAGAGTTGCAAAAGTTTTGGGGAACTTAATTCCACCCTGTTTCTCCTATTTTAGTTGGGTGTATTTAATGGGTAGGGGGAATTTGAGAAAGAAAGAAAGAAAGAAAGAAAGAAAGAAAGAAAGAAAGAAAGAAAGAACGAACTATCCAGAGATTAACTAAACAAACAAAAGTGGACTAGAGCTGATTATCTCCCTAAAGTGGAAGCAAGAGCGCTTCAGCTTTGTTTAGAATCAAGCCACCATCTATGAGTTTCATTCTCAAGGTCACCAGATAACTGCTGAAGCTCCAATTCTCACATCCACATTGTACCCAGCAAGAAGGAAGGATGACAGGCATTCCCCAATTCCATTAAATACACCAGGGCTCTTAGATCATCGTGCCTAGAACTTAATCTTGTGATCATACCTAACTGCAAGGCAAAGGCTGAGAAATGTGACCCCCATTCTGGGTGAACATTTGCCCAGTTGAAAATCAGGAATTTCATCACAAAAGAAAGGAAGAACAGGTATTGGGAGATAGCTGGTAGTCTTAACCACATAGTATCAGGGGACTATAAAGTAAAGTTTGCTGCTTTTTCACTTGCCATTTTACTGAAATGTGAATGTCTAATTATTTAAAATTTACCAATTCCCAGGGATGTATGTAATTTAACAGTAATCAAACCCTTAAAACCAATCGATTATCTAAAAGTTAGAATATCCTGGCTTTTTTTTTTTTTTAAGCAATTTATTTATTTGAGAGAGAGAGAGAGCAGAAGCAGGGGAAAGGGCAGAGGGAGAGGGAGAAGCAGATGTGAGGCTCATTACCAAAACCCTAATATCATGACTGGAGCCCAAGGCAGAGGCTTAACTGACTGAGCCACCCAGACCCCCCCAAAATATTCTGGCCCTTATTGGGGAAACAGTGAAAGAGGGAAGCCTTCTTCATTTACATGTGAATCTGGGATTAAGAGTTGATATTAGAAAGACTTTAAAAGGCAGAATATAGTTAATAGAAACCAAAGGGCCACCACTGAATGTCACGGAATATGTAACATAAGCACCTCCCCATACTGAAATATAGAGGAGGCTCAAAGGCCCTGAGGCCCCAAGAAGGCGATATACTCAGAGTCACATAGATCATTAGAGGAATAGGCTGGAATGAGAACTCTTAAATCTGTCTTTGAGTCCAGTTTTTTGCTATTGTTCCCAAACACTATTCATTATTGATTGGATTTTTACAACCCTGCATTTATTTGATATTTACCAATATTCATTCTGTTGTTTCATGTATCTAATTTATCTATCATCCACTTTGTTGTTATCAATCCATGTCTGTGTCAGATCTATTAAATGGCAAAATTCTATCCAGTAGAGTCAAATTGAGATAATTTATTTGGATACAGAAGAGCCAAAACCAAAATAATTAAGTATTAATTAGTAGTGATGATATTGGTTAAATTAAAAATAGCAACAGACATTTTGTTCCTACCACTGTAACCATCTCTCCATTAGGACTTACTCTAAAAAATAAAATGTTAGTATAAGAGATAAAAATGTCCCTGGGGATTCACTTACTGCCTCATGCAAGTTTTATTCAAATCCACAGTGCAAGGATGTCTAATCCTAGTTATTTCTAGGACCATTCCCAGTCAAGCAGGAGGTTTTTCTGGCCTGAGCCATGTTACCTTTGTCTAACTCACTGTGTTAGGACTGGCTTTCATTTCAATTTCATGCAGCATCTGTATCAAGAAATGCTATTGATTGTCTTGTGTTCGCTTTGGAAGAAATTAAACATCACCATGATGTTCTTGATTCCTTTTTAATTAAAAGGGAAAATAATTTTTAACTCATTCTTGCTCACGATGTTTTAAACCTCACAAATAATCAGTGTAAGTAAGGTGCTTTAAAAAGTAAATAAATGAATAGAGGAGCCAAGATGGCAGAGGGGTAGCAGACTGAGATGACATCAGGTCGCAGGAGTTCAGCTAGATAGTTACCTAACCATTCGGAACACCCACAAGCCCAACAGGAGATCAAAGAGAAGAAGAGCAGCAATTCTAGAAACAGAAAATCGACCACTTTCTGAAAGGTAGGACTTGTGGAGAAATGAATCCAAAGTGACGGAAAGATAGATTGCAGGGGCTGTGGGGGGAGGTGCCGGCTCCTGGCAAGTGGTGGAGCTGCAGAGAACAAAATTCGAACTTTTAAAAGTCTGCTCCACTGAGGGATATCACTCCAGAGGCTCAAGCAGGGGTGGAGCCCTCGCGGGGACAGTGTGGTCTCAGGTCCCAAGGGGTAACAGAAGGATCAAGGGTGTCTGAGTGTAGCAGACTCCCAGGTATCAGAGCGGGGAAGCCGACTACAGAGACAGAGCCGAGGAGTGAGCTCTCAGCTTGGGGTTAACTTAAACCATGATCTGAGGCACAGTCAGACCACTGCTCTTTGAGCAGGGACCCCACAAGTGGCAGATGCGGGGAGACTCGCCTTTCTTCTCTGGAGGCAGGAAGCTGCTGGATTTGGAGACTCCAAATGGGGCTGTGTGCCAGAGACAGAAATGATCAGTCACAGGCCGGGTGTGCCCAAGTGCAGCCGGAGACCAGGGAGACAGGAGGGATTGAGCGCTTTTCTCCGAGGGCCCACTGAAGAGTGGGGCACGAGCTCTCAGCTCCTCCGGGCCAGAAATTGGGAGGTTGCCATTTTCATTCCCATCCTCCAAGTGGTATGGAAAGCAGACAGGGAATAAAAGCTCCCAAGAGGGAACCCAAGCATATTACTCAGCCCGACCCCTGGCAAGGGCAGCGCAATTCTGCATCGGGCAAAGACATTTGAGAATCACTACAACAGGCCCCTCCCACAGAAGATTAGCAAGAACATCCAGCCAAGACCAAGCTCACTGATCAAGGAGAACATCGGAATTCCAGAGGAGGGGAAAGCAAAGCATGGAATTCATGGCTTTCTCCTCATGATTCTTTAGTCTCGAGAAGTTAATTAAATTTTTTTAATTTTATTTTTTTCTTATTC